ACGTTACACCTGATCTTGTGATTTGATTGGTCACCATCACGTGCGGGGAAATTTTTTGGGGGTGAGCTGTATAACTTAATTTGAAAGCAATAAATGTTCATTTCCTATATCAGACGATCGACATTTCAGGAGGTAAATTTTTAATATGAAATCAAATTCTTGACGCACCTAAATTTTATATGTAAAATTTAGGCAAAATTCGCTTTCTAAGCTTATTTAACAATAAAGAAGTTGTTAGTTTAATTTCTGGGTATCATTTTACAAATTCTCTAGCATTTGAAGGATCTTCTCATAAAATTTTAAGGATAGTTTAAAATAAAATTGAGAATATTCTTGACCACGGAGTGGCCAATTTTTTTGCGATTTTTACGATTTTTTACTATTTGTTTACAAGTGATGTACATCGTTTTACCCAAATAAGTAATGAGGAAGTGTCAATCGCGCTTTTCAAATTACTGTGATCAACAAATTTCACATATCACGCTGGGAATCAGAAATCCAAAATAAATGTAAATCTGTGATTGGTTGGAAATAATGTTTAGCCAATCATGTATTTTACATTTATTATAGATTTCGGGTTCCCGGCGTTGATCACAGTAATTTGCAAAGCGCAATAATTCAATTGACGCTGCCTTATTACTTGTTTTGGTTAAACACTTATAAACAAATAGTAAAAAATCGTAAAATCGCAAAAAAAATTGGCCCACTTCGTGGTCAAGATTATTCTCAATTTATTTTAAGCTATCCTTAAAATTTTATGAGAAGATCCTTCAAATGCTAGAGAATTTACAAAATAATGCCCAGAAATTGAACCAATAACTTCTTTATTGTTAAATAAGCTTAGAAAGCGAAATTTTTTTGCCTAAATTTTACATATAAAATTTAGGTGCGTCAATAATTTGATTTCATATTAAAAATTTACCTCCTGAAATGTCGATCGTCTGATATGAAAATTTCATTCCCGTCACTTTTAATTAGTGCCCAAGACAGGTTTAAACACTCGTTTTCTTTTTTTTCGTGTTTTCTTCGCGTCGGGCTGATCCGGGACAATCACATTTTACGTTTTCCGATTGGCTAATTCTCTTTTTGGCAAATTTTTACTAACTAGGAACACTACTACAGATCATACCATCATTGGTGAAGAAAATGAAAGCTGCCATTTCATTTTCCATATACTTATGATGTCATTCTGTTCGAACTAAAAGCGGATCAACTGAATATTGATATATACATTTTTATTCAAAATCACGAAAAAAATAGTGGGATAAACATTCAATCATGAGAATTCATATATTTAATAATTATAAATTAATAAAAAAAAAAATTGAACTTCAGACCTATTGTTCTATTTGCCAACACTGAGTTATGATGTAAAGAAATTTTAATTAGAGATTGGAATCGGTTTAGTCGACTAAAAAATCTGTATAATAAACTACTACCGTAGTGCACTGACCAAAGTACCCTCTTTTTGCGTATCCCCACCCAAAATACTCGGGCATTTTATATAGCATGTTTTTTTTAACCGAGGATAATACCCGGGTACTTTGCCCAACATTTTTCATATTACCACATATTGATTTCTGAATTACATATATAAAACAAAATACCCCCCATACAAGATACCAATACCCGTCACCGATCAAGATACCTCCGGGTGCTTTTTTTTTTGGTTAGATTGTATTGGACGATTCTAATCCCTAATTTTTATTTAAAAGAGAAAGAAAATGTATCATACTGTCTATTAATTCTAAAAAACAAAATTTATCACAAAGATGTTAGCAGAAAACACATTTATATTGTTATTACTACTATACCTACCCTTTGGATTAAATGCGCCATCAAATGATAAAGCATATTATATTGCATTAGGTGATTCGTTTGCAGCAGGTATTGATATTTCTGGTCCTTACCCTGGGAACGAAACAACACCAGGTTATTCTTACGCAAACGCTTTATATGAATTGTTAAAGGAGAACCATCCAAATCTTGAATTAAAAAAATTTGCGCGAAGTGGTGAAATCAGTGACGGCCTTATTGCCAATCAATTAACTAATGCTACATCTTTTATGAAAGCTTTTAAGGGATTGGTAAAACTTGTTACAATTACTATTGGAAAAAATGACTTTAACAACTGTCTTAATCCTAAACATCTAATTTTACTAAATGTCTTTATGATACGCTTGACCATTTAACGAACAATTTAAATAATAAGATAATTCCAAGTTTAAAGGAAGCAGGAGGTGAGGGTGTACAATATGCGGCTACCACATATTTTGATTCATTTTCTTTTTATGCAATGCTAGATGATAGTTTAGTTAGCCTTTACATTAACAATGGGTTCAAAGTAGCAGATCTTAGATATGTTATTACGAACAATACGATATGCAATTATACTTATTGGTGCGACTATAAGAATTGGCATCCAAATTCAAATGGTGGCCGTGCAATTGCAAATGTATTATTCAGTAACTTATCGTCTATCTCTTAATGAGTTAGGCAAGTGCAGGCAAATTTGCTTGCAATAATATTTTTTAAAAAAAATTTTTTATTAAAATTTATTTAATATTTTATATAATATTCTTTTAGATCTTATATTTATTTTTAAATTATAAATTATATAATTAATTATATTTTATATAAATTTGTATAGTTTTAAAATTAAACAATTTTTATAAAATATTAATTTTTAAAATTTAAAATTTTTTGATTCCTATAATTTATACTAAATTTTTATTTTAAATTTCAATTAATATAAAAGTTATAATTAAATTTTTACTCATGATAATATCATCTGTTATTATAAAATTTTTATTAAAATTAAATAAATTTAATTGACAATTGGGATCTTTGCCTTGAAAATCACCTTTCAATATTTCTGATCAAATTAATTTGGACAAAAATAATCTGAGTACCCAATCTTTAACTTCTTATCATATAACTATTCTGACTCTTTTATTAAAATGACTAATTAACTAAAATCCTTTAACAACTAGAGGATAAAAGCTGAACTTAACTTAAACAAATAAAGATTATTGAAGCTTATTTGTATTTAGAAATTCTTATTCAAAAGCAATTTAATGAATGACAACAAATCTATGAACTTATTTAAGCTTCGCAAAGTTCTCAAAAACTCAAAACATTTAGAAAAGAGCTACTTGTCTTTAACAAATCTTTAGCATTAGACTGAAAGAATTGTTGTATCAGACCTGATACTTTATTGTTATCCATATTATCAAGTTTATTAATGAAGAGTATCAGTCTTTAATTAAGAATTTGCAGAACAAATTTTTATAAGAGATAAAAATATTATAAAACAGTTTATTATTTTTATTAGTTTATTATTTTAGTATTATATAATTATTAGTTATTAGTTATTATTTTATTATTTTTATTATTTAGTTATTATTATTAGAGTAGAATTTAAAAGATATGGTGCAGGACACCTAAAGATGGAATTAAAATTGAGTATCTTTAAAATATAATACAAAAAAAAAAAA